TAGCCAAACGCCACTTTAGCGCTTGTCTACAGAGAGAGTAGATAACTAAATGTATATGGGGATGACACTGACAAGTGTCAAAATTTACGTCAATTCCATATAATTTGGTTTTCTATTCTACATGTAGACAAGCGGTAAAGTGGCGTTTGGCTAAAGGCACAGGTTTCCTCACGTTTTGCTTCACCGTTATCAGTTGTTTAAAAATATAGCTATGTATAATGTGTATCATATTTTATATCCTATATCGAGTAGTCACCATAACTCACAAAATAACGATAAGCAGCTGTTTCATACCCCATACAGCATTACCATAAACAACACGCTAGTAGGTACCAACCTCCTTTCAGATCCCTCACAAGCAACCACAGAGCACACAGCGGCCAGTAATAATAATTTTTCAAAAATGGAACACTGGAACGTCAAAACAGTTTCGAATATCGAACTCGAAATAAAAAACAAAAGCTTTGTTCGTTTGTGAGTGTTCGAAATTCGAATAGCTTTTGTTCTTTGTTTCGTTTAAGTTTAAAATGACCGTTAATATAATGTGACGGCTCGAATTATTAGCGGTTCAAAGCAAGCTTTGTAAGTTCAAGTCATACGTTATATTTATTGACAAGTATTTTATTCCCTAAAATGGATAAGTAGGTAAGTAGAGGCGTACAAAATCTGATATTATGTAAAAGAAAGGCTGTAAAATAAAGATAGGCCGTTGGTGATGATGATGATGATATTTTTAAAAAATAAACTCATAATTTTGTTAAAATTATAATCTTTTATTTAGCTTGCAATGTATGACTGCCTCGTTGGCCGAGTGGTCGCAAGTGCTTGGGCAAATTATTACTGGGTTTTTAAAAATCTCAGTAGTAGCACGGAGCCTGGAAATTTGCCCGGTATATGCCAATAGGCTCACCCCCAATTACATGGGATTCATAACCTAAATAGTGAAAAGTGGGTGTTACATTGTACAGTGGCATTAAGTGCCGAAATGTGCACCTCTGCCTACCCCTTCGGGGGTAAAAAGGCGTGATGTTATGTTTGTGCAATGTATGAATGTATGTAGTTATGTATGTGAAGTGGAATCTTGCAACTGAATATTGAAGCAGATATCTTCAACCGATTGAGCTGACATTTTGTATACACGTTGAGTTTACAAGACCAAAAATGGCTGGTCGCATAAACTTTTTCGGAAAAAAGGGTATACATTTTATTATATTTAAAGTGATAGATATTATATGGTATCCTATTAATTCCTCGCCCAAAAGGTGATAGAAATTTAAGATGAAAAACATAATAATAATAATAATAAGCCCGCAGGGCACCTTGAGGCGAGGTGACGGGCATTAGCGATCCCGCGGGCTATCATCATCCCGAGTGCTCCAGGGAGAAGTCACCGTTCCTTCTTCTCCGGCTTGCCTTAATTGGCTGGCTGGAGTGAACGATGACAAGGAACAGGTCTCCCACCTCTGGCTTGCCTTCATTGGCCGTCCAGAGTGGAGTCGCGAGAGCAGTGATCCTGCTCGGAGGGTAAGAAACTATTCATAAGTCGCGAGTGGGCCAGGGATGCAGGAGGCTTCGGCTGGAGCAGATGATCTGAGTAGAAAGCGGTGGTAGTTTCTTAACCCTTCAGCCACTCACATTCTCGTTGCCCCTTTGTTGCTATATCTAGCAACCATTCCTGGGGCCCGGTCGGTGAGTTGGCGAGTCTCCGCCTGCCATTTTTACGTGTAA